GAGGGTCAATGACCCCTGGATTGGGCAAACCTGAAAACTGGGGAGTCACCAAAGTCTGCCAGGGACAGATAAAAGGCAGTGAAAAGTGACCCTCAGTGGCGCCCTCTTGATCTCCAACTCGACCAGACCTGTCCAGCCAGAAGGACCAGCCGGCGACCCCCTTCTGGAAGATAACACCACACTGAAAGAAGCCTCAACGACAGACTCCAGCGCTCGTAGGATAGGTATACCTGACTCTGTAGCCTGCTACTGTGTGTGTGTGTGTGTGTGTGTGTGTGTGTGTGTGTGTGTGTGTGTGTGTGTGTGTGGGGACCAGCTCCAAGGTTTATGATTACAGTGTTTCAATCTGCCTAATAAACTAGAATTTTAAGGATCCCGAGTCGGACATTTGTAGCCAACAGAGATGTGCTATTTATCAGAGTGCCCCTAGGAGTAACTAGGAATAATGGGTGCAAACTAGTGGAGAGTAGATTTAGATTAGACATTAGGAAGAATTTATTTACAGTAAGGGTGGCCAGAATCTGGAATGGGCTTCCAAGAGAGGTAGTACTATGACCTAACTTGGAGGTCTTCAAGAGGAGGCTTGATAGTCACCTGGCAGGGGTCATCTGACCTTGGTCCTCTTTCCTGCCAGGGGCAGAGGGTCGGACACGATGATCCTTTGTGGTCCCTTCCGACTCTATGATCTATGAATCTTCAGCAGAGTCCTACACGATACATACTAGCTAGCCAGTCACCTGTTCAAGTGTAAATAATCATTTCAAAACATACATACACACACAAAAAAAATCACAATAAAATTTGTTCCTGATAATTAACCATTTTAAAAGGTACTGATCTATGCCCTCTATAGGTAGGGTCAATCCACAGAGGGGTGTAATGACACCCCCTGTCCCCATCTGACTGTGCTGCATGTGAGCTTTAAGACCCTTTCAGACAGGTTCTGGCTGGAACCCCTGATTTTGCTCTGGAGCCTAGGGGAGAGCACTGAGTGCACTGCTCATTCCCTCCTTTCCCCTGCTGCTTAATTCAGAGGGGAGGGGAATGGTGAACAGCAGTAGCATTCACCTCCTGGGTTCCAGAACCATGTGAAAACAGGGCCTCTGGCCAGACCCTACATATATCAGCTGGTGAACTCAGAGCACACTGCTCATGCAGAACTCTGGCAGGAACATCCACTGATTGGGCAATGAGCTCAGAGCTCACTGAACGTGTGTGGCACAGCCAAGGTGCAGGGAACAGTACCCCTTTGCCCATTCCTGGATCTGCTACTATTTATAGTACCTGTCAAGCCAGGTGATGCTCAAAAAACACTGGATACTCCTTAATTTTCTTGGCTCAACAACATGATCAGCTGTTCCATTTTGTATAATTATTTTCTATTTTGGTGATGAATAAAAGTAAGAATGCAAAACAGATCTGCTTAAGGCCATTGCAATCATGCAATCATAATTCTTATAGAAAGAACTCTGAATTTTTAATATGCAGTACAAAACTGTATATTGAACATTTTTATAAATTACACAATTCTGACATAGTGAGCCAGAACACACACAACTTACACACTGAATTTTGAAATCCATTTTTTCTTCAATATAAAATGTCAAAATTTATTCTTTACTCTGTTGTAATATGGTACACAAAAATCAATCTTACAAAAAGTTTTAAAGTGGCTAACTACTGAAAAAGACACTCAATGTATACAGGTCAACTATAGTGGAAGTTCTTCAGAACTTGCTGCTCTCAAACAGGGAAGAATCGGTTGAGACAGTGAAGGTGGAGGTAACCTGGGTAACACTGACCATAAAATAATAGCTTTCAAGATCCTACGGAGAGGAAAGGAGAGCAGCAGAATAAAGAAACTGGACTTCAGAAAATCAGACTGTAACAAACTCAGGGAATTGCTAGGCAAGATCCCTTGGGAGGAAAATGTTTGAGGGGAAAATGAGTCCAAGAGAACTGCCTGTACTTTGAAGAGGCCCTTATATGGGCACAGGAGCAAGCTAAACACATATACTACAATAGGAAATGTAACAGGAGGCCAGCTTGGGCTTCTCGGTGTACTGCCCTGCTACCTGATTTTCCCAGCGTTTGATATAATGGATATTTGGGAGGCTACCCTTAATCCACTAGAGTGACTTCCTCAGGCACTTCCTGCTTTCTGCCTTAGTTCAATTCACTGGTCTTGCTTGCACCCCTGTTCACAGTCTCTAAGCCTCTGATAGCCTGCTATCACAAACTCTGGGGAGCCTTTGGTCTGCTTCCCTACCCTAGACTGCCATCTTTCACAGGGCTTTTAGTTATTCCACCAGTCAATGCTTTCTGTGCCACCACCAACACTAAACATGTCCTCCTGTCCTCCCTCATGTGTCACAGGTCTTACTCCAACTCCATTCACAAGGCCCTCTGGCCATATACTGCATCTAGCCCACCAGGTCCCTGATCCTTGCAGGGCTCAAAGTGCTGAGTGCCTCCCCAGCACTTCCCCCCCCTGTGGCCTCCAACCACACCTTTAGCTACTCTCAAACCTCCAGTTACAAACTCAAACAAGCATAACACAAAAACCACATAGCTCCACACAGACCTTTCTGCAGAGCCCCTTCCTCTCCAGGATTCAGAGCTTGACTCCCTCTCTAGCCTAGAGTTCTGTGGAGATCCCCAGCTTGGCTCCACACTTTCCGCTCAGCAAGCTTCCCTTAACTGGATACAGGGGGTTGCCAATTCCCTCACAGCTCTATGGCATTCTGGTGTCTGCAGTTAGCTGGCCAGCTCTGCTGACTTTGTTTTGCAACCTAAGGCTCTATAGCCCTTTACTTTTTCTCCCTGCCTCCCAAGTGCCAGGGGGAGGGGCCTCTCTTACAGAGGTAATAGCCTAGAGTAGTATAAAAACAGCTTAGGGATTACTTAGAGAAGCTGTTTGCTTTCAAATTGGCAGGGCCAGGTGGACTGCATCTGAGAGTATACTGAATGCTGAAGGAATTGGCCGAGGTACTTTCAGAGCCACTGGCTATCCTTTTGGAGAACTTGTGGAGGTTGGGTGAAATCCCAGATAAGGCCCCAGAAAAGGACAAACATAGTGACTATTAGAGGTGCACTGATACATTGGTCCCATATTGGATCAGCACTGATACAGGGAAAACTGACAGGATTGGAAATCAGCTTTTTTTGCCCGATGTAACTGATAACGTGGCCAATAAATGCCCCGTGCATGCACACAGCCGCAGCATGCACACAGTCAGAAGCATAGCCCGGCGGCCTGGAGAGCAGCATCGGGCTGGTGAATCTGTTGTGGGAGAAGGGTAGAGGGAGGGAAGGAGTGTGGGGGAGGCAGATTGAAGTCACCGCACTGAGGGAGGGAGCGGGGCAGGACCAGGCACTGCTTAGCCAGGAAGGGGCACAGGACAGAGCTGCATATGGCTCATCTGGGGAGTGCGGTGTGGGGAGCAGCTTCCACCCTGCATGCACCCCAGGAGGGCATGGGGGGCGTGTGCCTCCAGATCTGCACATCGGGTGAGGATGGGCTGTTGCTGTGGGCTGGGGCCAGGGGCTACACTGGGCTCTTCCCAGAGAGGGTGTTGGGATGGAGCTGCATTTGGGATGGGCAGCAGCGGTGCTGGGAGGGGAGTTACAGGAGGGACTGTGGTGAATTTTGGGGTGCCTGCAGCCCCACCTTCATAGCCCCCTTCCAGTGCTGCAACCCCCTGCCCCAAGCACAGCCTGGCCCAGCCAGTAAGAGCCCAGTGCAGCCTCCAACCCCAGCCTGCAGCAGCAGTCCGACCTTACCCTGCACGCAGATTCAGGGGAACATGCCCCCCATGCCTTCCTGGGGTGCATGCATCACTGAAAGCCACCCCCCCCAGATAGCCACTCACAGCTCCGTCCCGTGCTCCGCTCCACCCTGGCTGAGCAGCATCTGCCCCTGCCCCACTCCCTGCCTCATGGCGGGGGCCTCAATCTAACCCCCAACCCCTTCTCTCACACTGGACTTACCAGCACGATGCTGGTCTCCAAGGTGCCTGACTGCATATCAGAATCAGATTGGTATCAGCCGATATGGCTCCTTAAAAATCAGCATTGGTATTTGCCCAAAGAATCTCTATCACTGCACCCCTAGTGAACATCTTAAGTACCTAGAGGTGAACAAAGTGATCAGGATTCGGATTTGACCTGAATCGGGGACAGTGATTCGATCTGTTGATTCAGAACACTGTCCCCAATTCGATTCGGCCGAATCCGAATCTGAAGATTCGATGCTGATTCGGCGAATCAGTAGTTTGGACACAGACACAGCTTTAAATGTTTTTGTCTACATACCTTGAGGTAGCAGGCATGGCTTTTGATTGCTGTGGTGCTGGGGCGCATGGAGCATCCCACTGGAGTGTGGAGGGGGCTAACATGTGCTCAGCAACAAACTCAGAAGTGGACTGGAAGTGCTTCCAGGTCTGCCGAAGAGCATGCTAGGGGTTCCCCCCATGCCCTCCCAGCTCGGCAATTGGCTGCACGAAGACCCCAGGTGCCCCCCCAAGACCCAGGAGGCACCAGCTGCCAAGCTGGGGGCCTGCCCTGCACTCTCCCTGGTGGACCAGGAAGTGGACTGGAAGTGCTGCTGGTCCACTTCCAGGTCTGCTGCCAAGCATGCTGGGAAGCCCCCCCGTGTTTCTGTGGTATGCTGCATCTGCCCCAGCACCACAGTGTTCAGAGCCCCTGCTACCTAGAGGTATGTAGAAAAAACATTTAAAGCTGTATCTACATCTGATTCACCAAGTCTGTCCGAATCAATTCAGAGGGTTCCAAATTGATTTGGAGAGATTAAAGAGTCCTCTGATTCGATCTGGATTTGGAGATTCGGCCACTGAATCAGGGCGAATCTCTGCCAAATTGAATCAGGGACTGAAGCTTCACTCAGCCCTAGTAGTTAGCTGTTAGGCAGATGGCAGGATAGTTATGCATCTTATAGATGAACTGAATCAAAGATGGATACACTTTTGTGAGTAAGTGCTTACTTCATCAGATGCTGTGAATGGACATGCACACAGCAGGCTCTCAAACAGTGATTTTAATACAAAAGATCTGGATGGGTAGGAGAGAAGGGGAGGCAGTGCTGACAAATAAACAAGTAACAACCCAAAAGGATGAAGGGGCCAAAAAATCTAATCCAGGTAATGGGATAAGAATCCATAGTTGATGTTTAGATCATACATACCACAATCAACGAGGTCCCTTTCAGCCTTACTTTCCTACGATCCTACAGAAATTAGGGAGAGGTAGTTAACCATGTTAATCAAACAGAAGGCAGTCTATAAAATGCTTTAGTCAGACAGAAGGCAGTCTATAAAATGCAAAGACAGATAAGCTTTGGATGATTTCTTGTTCTGCAATTCTGGGCTCAAGGCAGCTTTTAAAGTTTCACTGTGTAAGAACTATTTGGAGGTCAGTGCTGGAATGTCCAAGAAGGTTAAAATGTTCTTCCATAGGTTTGAATGTGTTTTTGGATTTTATGTCAGAAAGGTGTCCCCTCATTCTTTCATGTATCATCATTACCAATCCTCCTAAAGTGATGAATCAACCAGATTTTACTGTATTTTTACCTGCACATACTGCTACATTACATAGAAGTCCTCTGAGGAAGGATCCCCTTAGTTCAGTCTGAGCACCATACCATAATGCGTTTGAAGACTGAAGTTTCCACTTACGCTCCATACAACAGCACTTGGTAGCTTTCACTGATGAACAAATATAGCATACCTCATGCTTTTATTTTACCAAGAAAGCTGACAGGAGAACTTTAAGTTAATAAAATAAGAATCTCTTGTTGCACTAAAACATACACATTTCAAAGATAACAGAAGCCTACTTGATATCAGCTGTGTTTACATGATAGTATAATCTGGAACAATGGAGTCCTTGCTAGATCAAGGGATTTTTTTCCTTCAGCAGTAGACCTCCCCCACAAAGAGGGTCAAATTCCCAAACTAGGTTACTCAGGCTTGAGAAACAGCTTTTTTGGCCAGAAAGACACAAGCAATATGACTGCTACATTCTACTATTTATATCTATATGCTCCTGGATAACAAGATAACAGATAAGAAGGGACATAAGAGAGACATGGCCCAACTTTGTAAGAAGCCTTTCATGACTCCACATCCAAAGCTTTGACTTCATTCAGAAGACAAAAGGCACCCTACTGTTCTCAGATGCAAGTCAGTTTACATCCCATCAAAAGGTCAAGCTAAGGCTAGGTACAGGTTCTACCAGGTTCCTGCCAGGTAAGGCATGGTGTTCATATAAAAACTTGCTCTTCTTTGAACAGGAGCAGAATGGACATCATTTTTCAGAAAGCTTTCTTTTAAGAAAAAGATCTTGTACCAGACTTCCCTGGAACTAGAGGCATTGATTTCATAGACATTAGGGCTCGAAGGGACCTTGGAAGATCAAGTTCAGTCCCATCAGCTACGGTCAAAGGATCCCAGCAAGATAGGTGTCCAAATGTTTCTTAAAAGAGTCCCGAGTAGGTGCCTGCACCAGCTCTGGAGGCAGTCTATTCCAGGCCTTGGGGGCTCAGACAGTAAAGAAGTTTTTCCTTACGTCCAACCTAAAACAGTCTTGGAGGAGTTTGTGACTATTTGACCTTGTCATCCCTTGGGGTGCTCTGGTGAACATCCTGATGTACACCCTTCATATACTTTTGGACAGCCACTAAGTCACCCCTAGGTCTGAGCTTTTCCAGGCTGAAGAGTCCCATGGCTCTCAGCCTCTCATCATAGGCCTGCTCTCTTGCCCTCTGATCCTTCGCGCGGCTCTCCTCTGGACTCTCTCAAGCTTTTCCGCATCCTTTTTAAGTTGTGGAGCCCAGAATTGGATGCAGTACTCCAGCTGCAGCCTCACCAAGCCTGAGTACAGTGGGAGGATGACATCCTGAGATTTGCTTGAGAAGCATCTATGGATGCAAGCCAGAGTTCTGTTCGCTTTACCAGCTGCAACATCACATTGGTGGCTCCCGTTCATCTTGTGGTCAACCATGACTCCCCAAGTCCCTTCCAGCCGTGGTGCTAGCGAGCGTAGAACTGCTGAGTCTAAGCATGATGCGGGTTTCTACACCCCCTCCACCCCCACAAAGTGGAATACCTTGCATTTTTCTGTATTGAATGTCATCAGGTTTCTATCCACCCATTTTCTAAGTCTGTCAAGGTTGGCCTGGATCACCAGCCTATCTGCAGGTGTGGACGCTTTACCCAAAGTTTGGTGTCATCAGCGAACTTGTGAAGTCCGCTTCTGACACCAATGTCCACATCGTTAATAAAGATGTTAAAGAGTACAGGTCCATGGACCCGTTGGGGGACACCACTGGTCACGGAGCACCATGATGATTCACTTCTGTCAATTACCATTCTCTGGGTCCGACCCCAGAGCCAATTACCCAGCTGTCGGACTGTGATATAGCCGAGGCCGCATTGGCCAATTTTTCCATGAGGAGATCGTGGAACACCAGATCAAAGGATTTTTTAAAGTCCAGATATATGACGTCAATCTCTTCTCTTTTGTTCAGGTGATATGTCACCTGGTCAGGGAAAGGGAAATGAGATTGGTCAGGCAAGACCCACCCGCAACAAACCCATGCTGGCTGTCCCTCAGGATGCCATCAGCCAGTTTGTCAAGAATGGTCTCTCTGATAATTTTTTCCAAGATCTTCCCAGGGATAGAGGTCAGGTTAATAGGCCTATAGCTCCCCGGATCTACTTTCCTCCCTTTCTTGAAGATAGGCACCACATTGGCCTTCTTCCAATCTTTGGGCACTTCACCTAAGCACCACTTGTTAACAAAGATCCTTGCCAGTGGCTGGGCTATGGTGCCTGCCAGCTCCTTAAGTACTCTGGGGTGCAAACTGTCAGGACCAGCTGACTTGAAGGTGTCCAGCCTCTCAAGGTGTTCCTTTACATGATCTACACCAATGTAGGGTATAAATTCACCCTCACCCGGGCTGCCCCGCATTGTGTTAAGTAGGGCAGTCCCTTTAGGCTGGTGAAAAACTGAAGCAAAATACCCATTAAGCAGGCTGGCTTTTTCCTGGGTGTTGGTTATCAGTCGTCCCATTTGGTTTAGCAGGGGTCCAGTGTTACCCTTGCTTTTCTTCCAATTCCCCATATATCTGAAAAAGGAATTTTTATTGTCCTTGATGCATGTAGCCAGTTGGAGTTGGGTTGCAGCCTTGGCTTTCCTGGTTCACTCCCTACAGGTCTGGACCAGTGCAGAATACTCCTCCTTTGTTATGATTCCAGTCTTCCATCCTTTATAAGCCTCTCTTTTTAGATGCAGGAGGTCCACAAGTTCCCTGCAGAGCCAAAGGGGTTGCTGTGCCCTGTTGCTACTTTTCCTCTGAGATGGGATGAACATCACTTGTGCTTTCAGGATCACTCCCTTGAGGAGCAACCACTCATCCTGAACTCCCCTCCCCTTCAAGTCATGGTCCCTTAGGGCCTTGCCAACAAGCCTCCTGAGCTTGTTAAAGTCAGCTTTCCTAAAGTTGAGGACTTCTGCATTGCTGACTGACTTGCCAGCTTTGCGGTGGGTAGTGAAAGTAATCAGCTCATGGTCATTGTCTCCCAGCTTTCTTTTGATTCTTAGGTTTTTGACTAGATCATCCCCCTTTGCCAGTACCAGGTTGAGCAACGCTTTACCTCATCAGTGCATAGACTTCTTGAGTTAGATAGAGCTCATCCAGGCACATGAGAAAGCTTTGCGACCATTTGGCCGAGTGCTCTTCCCATGAGATGTCCAGGTAGTTGAAGTCTCCCGTGACAACCAATGCACCGAGTGTGTGCAGCCTCAGCCAGTTCCTTGGCAAATTCCTGGTCAAGCTCTTGTTCCCAATTAGGAGGTCTGTAGTAGACTCCTACCATTACGTCCCCTGTGCCATGTTCTCCACGTATTTTATCCCAGAGGGTCTCCAGTCACTCTCCCTGGGTGCCAATATCAGCTTGCAGGGATGTGTAGTTTTCCTTGATGTAGAGCGCTATACCCCCACTTCTTTTTTCCGCATGATATCTCCTGTACAGGGTATAGCCATCTATATCTGTGGCCTAGTCATAGGTGGAGTCCCACTAGGTCTCCATTACCCCTATGAGATCGCAGTCATTCTTGTTTAGCAGGAGGACCAGTTCCTCATCTTTGTTCCCCAAGCTCCTGGCACTGGTATACAGGCACGCAAGTGTCCCATTGGAAGCCCTAGTCTTCCCTGCACTCCCAGGAGGACATCATTCCAGGGCTGGGGTAGGAGTGGATTCTCTTGAGTGCCTTAACCTGCTGGTTTTGCAGAAGTTCCCCAATGAAACTTTCTTTGGCGGTAATCCCCCACATCACCCGGCGGGCTTAGTTTAAAGCCCAGTTGAGTGGGTCAGCCATTCTGGCTGAGAACAGTTTTCTCCCCAGTGGGGTGAGGTGGAGGCCGCCTCTTGCCAGCAGACTGCTGCCTCTCTCACCAAAGAGCAGACAGTGATCGTGGAAGCCAAAGCCTTCACAATGACACCAGCACCGCAGTCTTTGGTTGACTACCTCAATCCTCCTTTCCCTCCTCAGCCCATGACCCGAAACTGGGGAGAATCGAGGAAAAGACCACCTGCACCCCCAACCCCCTAAGTCCTGCTCCCAAAGCCCTGTAGTCACTCATGACATGACCAGGATTGCTCCAAATAATGTCATTCGTGCCGACATGGATAAGGAGCATAGGGTAGTGGTCAGAGGGCCAGATAAGCTTTGGGATCCTCTCTGCTATGTCCTGGATATGGGCTCCCAGGAAGCAGCAGACCTCCCGGGCAAGGGGGTCGGGGTGGCAGATTGCTGTAGGCATTTTTGTCTGTCTTGTGAGACAAAAGAATTATGCCAAGCAAGACATGAATCTAACATATGAAGAAACCATAATTATTTCAACTTTCTCTATGAGTGCTGATCAAATTATCCTGGAAATCAATTCCCTTTTTCCTCAAAGAGAATATCACCACAATCTTGAGAGACTGACATCTATAAACAAAGTGAATCAACTGTCTGTAAGAGAACCATATTGTGCAAAATGAAATGGACTGGGGGCTAAGTAATGCCAGACATGCCAAATACATGAGCCAGGTTTGCAAATTGGCAGTCAGGGTAAATTCCAAAACAGCCTGCTTCATAAAATACTTTGCAGGGAATCAACTGCAATGCTGGTGGGTGTATACACTGCCCAACATGCACCTGTGGGCCTGGGAACTGTCTTG